TGAGCGCTTGAATCATCAAATTTTTGCAATCTATCAATTATCTTATCAGTTCAGATAACAGATTTGTTTATTTTCTTTTTTTCTCTCTTTTTTTTTTGCAAAATGAAAAAATGCTTTATACATAATTCAAACTGACAAAAACGCTTTTAATACCTATCTAATTATCAATAAGCAAACTAGATTGTCAACTATAAAGGTCAAATAAGTTAGACTGAGTTAAGGTGGATGAATGCATTAACTTACATAAAATTGTAATACGGGTTCGTTTATATTGCAAAACTCTCTGCAGAATTGATTGAAGGATTGATTGTTACGAGTAATTGGATCGTACAGTGTGATATTGTTAGCGGCTAAATGTAGCACCTAAAAATGCATTATATCTAAGGTTATCATTTGTTATATTACGTTTGTTCATATATTCATATCTGATGTCAGTTACGGTATTAATATAAAATGTTATCGACTAGAATGTCATCATAAAATGGGACACTGTAACGATATGGGGACACACCTTTATGGTATCGTTGAGATGACTTTGTCGAAGCATAGAATTACCGTCTTTGGCGGTGATATACAGATACGTGGATATTGCTAAGCCACGTCCCGAGAAGAAGTTTAAATACTTGTCGTATTCAATGCGTGAACGTGCTTCGAATGGTGAGTAACCTTCTAGATCATTACGTTGTCTATAATAATAGCATCATTGCTTGAAATTCGTCAAAGCATCTCATATGACATTTTGACTTTCATATCATTTGCTTTTAATTAAATTTAATGAATTTTTCCGTTTAATAACAGCTTTTTCTCCAGTAGAGTATAAAATAAAGAAGAACAAACGGTGTATAAGATATCTTGATGAGTGCTAGTAGTGAAATCAGTATACAGGAGATCATAGCAGGCCAAGCAAAACGAGTAATCCAGAAACCCCATTTATTGTATATCTTAATTATAAACTTAACAAATCTGAAATAAAAATCAATTATTTATACTTGATATTTATATTGATACTATAAATTAATACAACTTATCATTTTATTATCAATGCAATAATAAATTAGATGATAAAATGAAATGAAACAAACTTTGGCTCTTTCTCTCCGAATTCTTCAAGAAGTTGCATGGAACGCTTTCCTACTAGAACACTTGATCGTCGATGTCCATGAAGAGATTGTGATGACAAATCTTCGTATGCTTGAGAATGCATCCATGAATTACCATAATCAATACCGGAATATTTTGGTACATTGTTACTTCTCTCCGTATTCCATGAAAAATCTACAAATAAATTAGATATAGCATAACTTTTCTTCTTTTTTTTTATAAAGAATAATTTTAAAACAAAATTGTATGCAAGAAATGTTCAAATATGAATTCTATGTAGTAATAAATGAAAAATTACCGTCTTTTGGATTTTTTTCCCCTTGATTCTTGGATTTTTCCCAGTGAACTGATGTAGCTGTTTCTTTAGGATGTTTCGTTTCCTGCGACATCGCAGGAATGATTGGAATGTAACTTTTCCTGTTTCTATTGGTGCAGAGATCCGTTTATGGATCTTTTCAATGATTTTGTTTTGATCACCGTTTTTTTTTTCGATATCTGAGGATTATATTTTTTCTTGTTGAAAGAAATCATAATAGATTGTAAGTTATATTAAGATTGGCAATATAATATAACAAAGAATAAGTAAAAGATATTTGTCTGAAAGTAATTTAGAAAGTGTAACAAATCAGTAGCAAATTATTTAAGTGATATTTGCTTTATTGTCACAAGTGAAATCCTTAGGACAAAATTAGATTCAGAAGGATATATTAGTTAATCATTTTATAAGATAATATTCAAATAAACATAAGGAAACGATTTTTCATTAGTTAATCTGAAATAAATTCTATAACTTATGTATATTTTAAAAAATATTGAAAATATGAGGGGAATTATCAAACAGTCTTGAAATGCACTGCTTTCTGACGATGAAAATTATGCGAAATAAAATTAAGAGAGAAAAAGGAACAATAAAGAGATATGAGTTATGGGAACTTATCAAAGATTTTTAAAAAAAAGAATAATTACATTAGGTTAGCTAAAATATTTTTGGAGAGTCGAATTATCGGTAAGAAATACGAAAGCTGGTTAATAGCAACTGAAAGTGTTAAACAACAAAATAACATTTGTTGACTGATTTTAAATTCCAAAAAGAAAATTCTAATATTATTTTTAAGAAATAAAGAAGAAAGAGAGAGAAGGAGGGAAAGAGTGAGAAAGAGAGGTATGATTTAATGTCCTTAGAACTATCTGATTCGCGAATCGGTGCTACAATGCTTATAAAAAGCAGGTTCTTTTAATGAAAACCAAAAAATGAAATATTGGAATGGGCGGCGATGATGATGAGTAATTTTAGTATGATTGGAAGCATAGGTAAAGAGGTATGCATATGTAAAGAACAGGTAAAGAAGTATTTATCATCACAAAATAAAATAGTGATTGACCTCTTGATAACCTATTCCTTTTAATATCAAATTAATAACTAATCAGATTAGATGACAGATTAAAAGAGTATTATTATTCCAACTGAAGTAGACAATGATTGACAATAGCATACCTGACCTTTCAAATTCATTTAACTAATTAAACTATCCCTAATTCACTAGAATACTTTAGCTATTCATTTATTTTCAGATTTTCAGATTTCAGATAATTTTCGAGTAATAAATTGAGAGCAAATAAGTGAATATTTTTTTGTGCAGAATTTTCATCATCTAATCGTCATGTCGAAGGAAACTTGCTCATTCCTTTTAATATCAATTTACATTTTATAACTGTTTCATCTATTCAACACATGCAGTAATCGAACAATAATGACATTTTTTCATAGCCGCTTCTCGTTACTTATAAAATTATATTTCAGCATTTTATACTTGAAATTTTCTAGGAAAATTAACTTAGAGATTTAGGTCTTTTACATTACTCTTAAATTTAAATTGTTTGAATGGGATTTTGATTTAATTTAAAATTAAACCTTACAATTTATTCAAACCTCAGCTGAAATTTTTGCTTTCCAATTTTAATTTGAATCTGCTATTATGTTTAAGTTTATGCTTGTTACATTAGAATCTAAGCTTACATAATATTATATAATTCATTTGCACTCTGCATCGTCTTAAAATTACTCTTGCATTCTTATTCAATGGATGATGTTAATTTGATCGTATAAATTATTCATTATAATTTTGATTTTGCTTGCTTTGTTGTAATTGCTTTGTTGTAAATTTAACATTAATTGGCTGGAAAAATATTCAGGAAAATTAATGGAAATTCAATAGAGATATAAAATAAATTTTGATAGCTATTGGTATGAATCAGTAATAGAATTATTAAATCTAATTTAAATCAGTTATTTTCTTTTTTCGTTCTTTTTTTTCTTATTGCAATTAAGTGGTAATTAGATGTGGTAAAAAAAAATTATAATAAAAGTAAAAGGAATGGAAATAATATGAGAAATGGAACAGTTGTAGAACAGCCATATTTAAAAAATAATGAAAGAACATTTTGAACAACTCTTCGTCTTCATTTTATATTGTCACATACTTTATTTTAATAGATGACAGATGTTATGTAATAGTGAAGCAGATCGTACTGCACTGCCAAAATTACCATTCGATACAAATCGATGTATAACAATTCTAAAGAAATTCGATAAAAAAAAGACGCTGTTTTTTAAATTCATGCTAGTTTATCGATCAACCGGTATGTAGAATCAGGAATCATCAATCATGTTCATTGCATACTTCAGTAATTATTTCAAAATTAGTCGTCTGTTACAAATAATTTGGAAAAAATAACTGTAACGAGCTTTTTTTTAATTATCTATTTTTATTTTTATTATGAAATTATTTTTGTTGGTAAAAAAGAAAGGTTTAAATCAATTTAAAAAATCATCTCTGACTTTGGAAAGAAAAACAAAAAGAAAGAGCAGAAAGCTATTCTTTTTGAAATTAGCAAATTGATAATAGCAGTAAATGTTATTACTGAAATAATGAAATAAATAATTGATTATTTTGAGAGTATTTTGATTGTTTCAGAATTAATTGTTATTATTGAATAGTTGTTAGATTTTCAATAAAAAGACGTAAATATTTGCAGTTGTTTTCCAGGATAACGAAATAATTTTATCTTCAAATTCACTGACTGTAATTTGTTAATGGAAGTTGAACTAAGATGAAATTTTAATCATAGCAATATAACATTATATTATATTTAAATTTAAATTAAGTCAAACTTTCTAGAATAATTTTTACTCTTAAAATAAGGTAATGTGTGACATTTGTTTATGTACAAAATTTTATTTAAGCTAATTATTGCTAATTATGGTCATCAAGCATCAGCCAAATATTCGTTTCTTATCATAACTTTTTACAATTTATTTACATGACTGTTATTTCTAGTAATCGTTGAAAAAAGCAGGTTGTAAAATAAAGACCCTCCGGTGTGAAGGAGAGAAGATGAGGGGGTGATGAATTGTTGCTTTATATAGTATAAAAAACTGTTGACATTTAAGAAAATTTTTGTTTTGAAAATCAAAGTCAAATCGTTGAAAGTCAATCGTATCCTATGTAGTTTTTAGGATAAAGTTTGTAAATGATCTTTCATGGAAAAAGAATGAAGCACGGAATTTTAAATTGCCAGAAGCAAATTTTTTTGAAAAGTCTGTGAATGAACGATAACATGGAATTGTACACTATGTGAAGCAAAAAAGTAAAAAAATTTCCAATTTTTAAAGTTAACATGAGAAATTTTACATTATACTCAGAAGGGTACGAATAATGTTCAACTGATATGTGAGAAATTAAATTCAACTTTGAGACATTTTTCATTCTAAATAAAATAGCAAATAATAAAATTACACGTTGAAATGATGAGATCACATGGTAGAAGACTGTCCGATCGCATGATGTATCTCTACGAAAGCTTTTTAATCGAGATTTATCTGTCGATATTTATTTCTTTTAAGTTTCGCCGATGACTTTTGTCGAATTCATTTCCAATGAAAAAGAATTGTTATTTTTCGCATCGTTAGCCGTACAATTTTGCCTTTTACTGCTGCTTCGTACCCTATTTATGGCTTTACATTGAGTTTTTAAGATGGCTTTTTCTTGCAAATGGAAAAAACATCGAAAAACAGTAATAAGCATCCATATCTATAATTAAAACTTTTTTAATTTTTACTGTAAGATTAGTTAAGTTCATCTGATTTAATAATTATTAAAGGTTACTTCACTGGTTTTTGTTATTTACTGAATAATTTGCTCGATCATTTTTCAAAAAAAAAATTTTGATTTTCAAATTTTATTGAATTTTTGAATTGAAAACAAATCTTAAACCTGCACTAAACCGAACAAAAACAGAAATATGCAAATGAATGATAAGATTAAAGCAAATGCTCGAGAAATGTAAATTAGCTCATAGGTTGATTTGCCTGCCATAATTAATGCCAAATCATTAGCGGCACCATCTTCAGCATTAACAATCCTGAAATTTAAATAGTGTTTTATTTATAATTACAAAAAGAAGCCTTTTCTAAAGTTTCGCTTGTTTTTTTTTTTCGAAAACTGTAAAATGTGTCATTACTTGGATTGTCAAAATTTGACTGATGTTTAGATTTTTTTTAATTAGCAAAATTTCTTCCATCATTTTCAGAGTTAATTAATTAATGAGTGTAAGTAAACTTTGTATATGTCAAACGAATAAAAGTAATGAATAGAGAATGATTTCAAACGATGGAATTTTTAAAAGTTTTGATAGTGACTGTATAAAAAGAAAAGACTGTGCAACCAGCATTTGAAGTCATGCTTGAAAGCCTATCTGATACATAGTGTGTTTACTGATCTAATCTGATCAAAAAATATTGATAGAAAGTCGTGAAGTTTAATCAAATGAATTGCAGATAATGTTAATTATTTTGAGCTTATTTATGAATAAAAAATATTTCTATGAAAATAGTTTTTTTGGGGTAGAAATTTTATTTAAGTGATAAATTCGCTATATAAATGAATTAGCGCTTTTTTTTCCGCTTTTCAAATTAATAGATAATAGCACACCTGAAATCCAAGCTCGTTCCAGCTATTAGAGCAAACAAACAAAATAAACAAATAAGTAATAGAATACATATTGCTGCAGCCTGAAAGTTTTCAAAAATTTAGAAAATAAACATGTACAAAAACCCTTTCATTCATCTTTTATAAAAAGTAGTCACAATACTGGAAATTATGAATGAATATCAGATCGAATTAATTAAAAAAATGTTTTAGGCCAGTTATTAGGCCATGTTTCCAATTTCTTTTTCACTGCTAACAATAAAAAGGGATCAGGAAAAGAGAGTATATTTAAAAGGAGATAGATAATAAGATAGGTATTGGTCATATTTTAAAGTTTTGTTATGAAATATGGCCTAATAACTTGGCCATAAATTATTGCTACATATACAGCGTGTTTTCTGGCTAGCTTGCAGAAAAAAGAAATTGGAGATTTGATTTTAGGATGAAATTTGAATATTACCTGCATTAGTAAATGTGGTACCAGTAAATATGGTGTTGATGTCTTGATGGCAACAAAAAGTAAGACAGAAGCAATGAGCGCAAGAAGTATACCGAATAGCGATATGGATAATGAAAGAAGATACTGTTCACCCGTTTGGATAAAATAGTGTACTGTTGAAAAAATCTAAATTATTGCTCAAAATATGATAAAAAATTTTTTTCCAATCAATCAATAATTACAATTAGAGAGGGCTCAATTAATTATTTATTCTGTTATCATTAAAATCTTATACCTCATATGAAAAATAACATAATTCCAAACAACCGATAAGCAATGTAGCCGTAGTTACGTGTAGTAAACTGCAACAGCATCTATTACGTCGTTTTACCGTCTTTACTATTGTTGTAGAATCCGTCATTCCGTTTCCTTGATTTGGTTCCGTCATTTCTTTGTTCATTACCTGAAATTTACATCTTCAAACTTAAGAGAAAAATTATCTCTCCTAATAGTGCATATTTTCTTTTAACCTAAATTTTACATTAGACATTTTGACACATTAAGGAAATAAAAAAAAACAAACATATTAATAAGCATTTCGATTAGTACGATGGATACTGGAGGTACTAAGAATAGTGAAATATTGTTATATTTTAATTTTCATTTTTGGGACATAAAATATCTCTTTTTTCTAAAAGGACTTTTTTTCTTCTAAATTAATAAATTTTAGTGAAAAAAAATAGTTTAGTTGAAAAACTCGTTTTTCTATTTTCCTTTCTTAACATAGATAAACGAACTAACTGTTTTTTTTTTTTTTTTTTTTCTTTTCTTTTTGCGCATTTTAAATAAAGAGAAATTTTCGGGTAAAGAAACAATAAAAATTAGATAAAAATGAACGGAAATTTTATAAAAAATGCACACGCCGGATAGAATACAAAGAAATTCGAAATGTGTCAGTCATTCTTTAATTGGAATTAATTCCAAGTATAAAATGAAAACATAAAACGAAAAAAGAAAATGTTTTGAATTATAATTTTGTTAAAATTTGAGTTTCGATGGAAAGTTTTGCCATTTTTGTTAAAAGCATTGAAGAAAGATTTTTATAAAAAGCTCTAAAAGATCCTTTTCTTTTTCTGTTGAATGAGATTCCATCTTAATTGTACATTTAGCAATTCATTTTCCATCTATTTCTGAACTAATTCTTTGTTAATCTTTTGCTCATTCTCTATTTACGATCCTATCAAGCATTAAGAAAGAAAATAAACAAGTGAATTAAAAATGAATAAATTTTATTTCAGTTCGATTTGATATTCTATCAAATATTATAGGAAGCAAATAAATGAATGAATGAATGAATAAAAAAATAAATAATTTTGTTTTTATTTGATTCATTCTTCTGTTAAGAACCGAAGGAGAAAGTAAACAGATTAAGCAGATAAGCAAGTAAATAAATAAATAAATAATTTTATTTCCCTTAATTCAAGTAAGTAAACAAGAAATAAAAGAGCGAGTAAGTAAGTGAGTAAATAAGTGATTAAATAATTTGACTTAATAGTTGGTATGGAAAATATCAGCAATAATGAAAGAGCAAAAGATGAATGTGAAGTGAGGTGGAAAAGAGAAGATTCGAAATGGGCGAATGAAGTGGGTAAATTTGACTGAAGGAATAGAGGAAATGAAGAGGTGAAAAACAGAGAAGTGGCAAATTTCCTACATCCACTAACAAAAAAAAAAAAAAAAAAATTAAACTCTATTGACCTTTACAGAGAGGCCAATCAGAGAATTTGATTAAAAGAAATGATAGGAGAAGTGTCGAAACCAATGACGACAATTTTCTTCAAACAAAACTTGACAGCAATTATCAATGAGCTGCATGAAAAAGTGATTTTCTAAAATAGCCAATATTAAAACAAGATTGTCAAATATGATTGTTGCATTTATGAATACCGATGCAGTGTATTCGTCGTATTTTTGATTAGAAAGAATGATATTATAGATGTGAATGAAATTTATTATAATGAAGCATCAGTCAGTACTTTGTAATTTCAGAAAAGATATTATTCAATTCTAAAATTAAAGATTTCAGAAGTTATTTTCCTTTTTTTTCACTCCATGCATACTTTCTTTTTAATTTTCATTTCGCGTAGTTTTATTAATGAAACTTCAGTTTATTCAAAGTCTTTGTTTTGTTACTTAACGTACAGTTAAGAGTTAGTTTTAATTAATAGGAATATAATGATATACATAACAAGTTATTTCGAAATTTCAGGTATTTAAATTTAAACCATCAAAATTATCTTATTTTAACTACTCACTAAATTTACAAACTTTATCATTTACCGGAATTGTCCGCATTGACTCTTTGTTATGCATATTATCATCTTATTCCTATTAAAAAAAAAAAAAAAAAAAAACTAACCGTTAACTGTATGTTAAGTAGCAAAATAAAAACTCAGTTTGAGCTATTGCATTGAATTTACATCGTAGCGGACAGAAGAATCTCTTCCAAAAATTTAATAACAAGAAAAGTTATGTAAAACTTATTTAAATCGAAATTCTTATTATATTTATACTTTTTTTTGAACTTTTTTTTCCATTTCCAGATGAAAATTCTTCATGTGATATTCAAGCAAAATAGGATATAAATACAAAATAACAGAAAAGCGATATAAATAAGATTTCATGTGATTATAGCAATGACTTCTATTATCATTTGTAGTTATAACAATTTGTGGGAAACTTTATCAAATAATTAAATTATTTTTACTAACTAATAACTATGTGATCTTTTTTAAATTACATTTATCAAAGTGATAAGAGTAATAGATTTTAGCATATTCTACTTTGAACTACCAAAAGTTTTAATTCGAAAAATTATATTGATATGAAGTAAAATATGACGAATTATATTTCTTTTTAAAGATATAATTAAGAATGAATAGAAATATTACTATAACAGGAATGACCTGAAGAAATGCAAGAGTCTACTAGGTGAAAAATTATTCACATAATTTTACAATAAAAGTATATAAAATAAGCTAACACTAAGTAATAGTTTTAAAAAAAAAAAGTTGCTTTATTTAATGTGCCAACATCCATATTTAATTGTCACATTGTTTGATGCATTCCGATTTGGCTATCCGGTTTGTTAAAATCATAATTCAAGCAGTATTGTTAACTTAAATGTATTCAGTTCTACATGACCACTACAAAAAGCCACAAAAATGACTGAAACGGATGGATGATGTTAAATTGGAATTAATTTAAATGAAATCTTAAGTCACATTCTTTATCTTCGAACAAACAATGCCTTTAATTAATGTGTAATAACATCCATTGCAAATGACCTTATTTTGAATTTTTTTTTTTCTTGTTTGTAAAAAAAATGAAGTAATAGTAGAAGGAAAACTATCGATCAAGTCTTCTCTTCCTTCTTCCTTTCCAATAAAAAAAATCAAGAAATGCTAAGAACAACGACAATTTCTGTAAAAATTTATCAAATTGAAAATTGAACTTTGAAGCGCCTAAAAACGAATGCTAAGTAATGTTTTATTTTGAAAAGCTTTTAAAAAACTAAAATTAAAATAAAATGGTAGACAAAATGTATTTTTGGTAAACTATAGAAAAAAAATGTGACAATTTATAATTGTATAATTGTAATTAAAAATAACAACTAATTTGAATGAAGATTTTATTGAAAAAAGCTGCAAGCGAAAAATAGAAAAATTGATGGAAAATAAACAAAATATGAAATGAATGAAGGAAGGAGGTGTATTGTTGTTTACCTAAACAGCTTCCTCATCTTAAGAAACGTGTTTTATGCTTAACCCTATTATGTAAACAAGAATATAATTTGATTTCTTCTTAATTCAGTTATGACTCCTTCTCTTTCTCTTTCTTTCTCTTCTAAATGTTATCATTAATAGCGCATATTTCATTATAGCTTCATTATACTTAATTAAATTTCAAAAAAAAACTTGAAGTAATGGAAATAATGGAATTAAAAAGTTTAATGATCATTACAGCTACATCAGTAATTAGCTCTTGACTGTTTATCTTTATTGATGTAGCTATACTGGTCACTAACTTACCAGTATAGCAACACATATATACAACAGGTATATGTTATAACAAAGTGGAATTAAATAATCTTAGTACATAGGTAGCAATGGTATGAGATATAAATCATTTTAATTTCACATTGGTTAAATTAATTGCAACATGTCATATGAAAAAGAAAGGAAAGCAATATAACAGGTAATATAAGAAGGATAATATAAGTAAATATAATAGTAATAGTAATAATAACTAAGAATAATAATAAACAAATGTAGTGTAAGGATTAATAATGAAGTGATGAAGTGCAGTATTTTATTTTGTGATGAAATAGTTATACACAATTGTTAAGGAATTTTTATTGTTATTTTTCCGCTTCGACTTTTTTATAACTTTCTAAAAGTAACATGTTGAGCTCAGTTTGAGAATCTTTTTAAAGAAATGAAAAGAAGAAGAAGGATGAGAATAGAAAGGACGAAAAAACAAGTTTCATGGCAATTTCATCGCATAAATTTTATTCATAGCGCTACGGTTTTTCTCTAAAAGGGACAAAATTATAATTTTGAATTAAATTTGCTATGAAAATTACCTATCAATAAATCTTCCTAAATTCTTATCTGTGAATAATTCACAGCTCTTATAATCATTATTTGTTTCGCTCATTCTCTTTATGATCATTGTCATTGTCATCACATAATCATCAACATTATATAATCATTATCGTTATCAATATCACCAACATCGTCAATATCATTACCAAATTGCTCGAAAGAGGAAATGAATTGGCGATGAAATATTTAGTTGATTCAATTTTATGCTAGTAATTAGCAATTTTCATATGAACTATGGTTTAAAAATTTTATAGACTAATTAATTACAAAACAAATGAAGATAAATGATAATACATTTGTTTGAATTCAAATTTGCATCCCATGTAAAGAATACACAACTAGAAGTACAGTCTTTAATATTAATTTATTGATAAGTAAACATAAATGTACTGCAATGAATGCACATTTTAGAAAACTTGTGTCAAAGGTGTCAAAAAATAGATCGCGGCGGAAAATGTTCCTATGGAATACGAAAGGCGCATTAGATAAATAAACGTTATACAATTGATACAGAATTTCTAAAATTGACAAAAAAGAAGGGAAAAGAGAAAGAAAAAAGAAAATATAAATTAAAAAATGCCAAAAAATTAGGTCATTTTTTCCGCTTTATAGAATTGGATGAAGAATAGATAAAAAATCTAGAAGAGATAGATACTTCTACTTTTGCGCTACCTATAAAAGGACATTACATTTCTTTTGCGCCATTCTCATTTCCTTCAAACTATCAATTTACTCTTCAACAAAAAATTCCTGTGTAAAATTTTATTTTGTTAACACACAA